GTAACCCAGCTTCTGGAGATTCTGTGAAACCTATATGACATTACTGTATGTCTACATCACTTGGGAATTAAAGTGTAAATATGGGGATGATAATATAATGAACATTAAAATGTGAACAGTATAAAATGATATTTCTACTGTTAAAGAATGTTAATTTGGGTTTACTTTTGACAAATGATTTTATCTATAAGAATAGATGTCTATGTTCCACTTTGGTTTTCTTTTTGCTAACTGCAGTATATGTGGGATTTGAAATACCAATCAATATTTGTGGAGGGCATCATTATCAGAAAAGGTATATTTGGACTACATGGTTCATGATACTACAACCTAATAATGCTCCTGAGCCAGACATTCATGTTTCCATTTTTTAAATTTTTGTGACACAACTGTGAATTGACATATAAGTTAACTCTCCCTTCCCTCTACCTCTAGATATGGTAAACATACAGTCACCTTTCTACTTCTCATTTAAGAACTAGAAAAGCTGTTAAAAAAGTGTAGGGGAGTAAGGAAACCTAGGACCAAAGATATCATGCAACACTCTAAATTGTCCAAGGTTGTCACAGTGACTGACACCCTTGTAGTTTGCAAAAGTTTATGCTTTTCTAATATGTAAAAATTTCAAATAATTCCACTGAATCATATCAAGTATACTGTAGTATTAATATAAAGCTAATCTATATGGATGGCATATACTATTCTGGTCTTAATACTTAAGAATGAATCTACTAAGTGCATAAAAAATAATAGTTTCTTAATAAATACAGGTTGATCAATTATTCTGTGAGAAAAAGTTCTTGGTGATTGGAGAGGTACTGAGGTCCTGTATTCTGAATTAGGGGCAAAGTATGACAAGACAACCGTGAATAAAGTTGATTTGCTTTGATTTTCTGAACTTTTAGTATTCATTAGCATACAAACCCCACACAGATATGATATTTATGATACTCACTATTTTTGAATCAATTAAAAGCCTACATAAGTATTGTTTATCTTTATACTGAAAATTTGCAGTGAACGGTGAATGTCTTTTGTATATTCCAGTATACCCCAGTAACCATACTTTCTGACTTGAACATAGAAACACTGAATCTTAGAGCTAGAAAACTGTCCCATCACTAAAGCAGAAACCTTGTTTGTAATAACCTTAATAGGGTCTGCACCTAATGTAGTAATACATTATTATTATTTATATTAGAAAATTAGATTACTAGAGTGTGTTAAGATATGACCAAACTGAACAATACAAAATCAAAACAGCACAATAATCTTAAATGCAAGTAAAAATGCTGCTCTTATCATGTCATCCAATTAAATACAGCTACATTTCAAATCTTACCAAATCTCTTATGTACTATAATTACATCATAATTCCTAATATAAACAGAAAGCTGGTTAATGATGATCCCAACATCAGAGAAGCAAAAATTATAGAAACTGAAAAAATACAAATCTAAGTAGTTATTTCATCTTGGAAGTGAAGCTATGTAACCAAGTTATACATTTTATAGAACTTAACTGAGAAGGTAGTGTTTATAGGTCACTTGACCAGTGGAACTTATATAATATTTATAGCTGTATTATTTGGACTATTCTTTAAACTCCATAATTTATCTATATTACATATATTTCAGCAGAGATTTTATACCTACTAAGTCTGTGACTCTTCTTAGTTCTGGGATAGATACAAAGATGAAAAAGACATAGTTTCCATATATTGAGTCTATTATTATACCTTAGTAAAGCCTTTGGTTATAAAATATTTAATCTCAATATAGAAAATATAAATAAGCCAGAACAGTGCCAGGTACACAATAAAGGCTTCATAAATGCTAGCTATGATTGAATGGAGCTATGGTAAGGTCACGAAATAAGTAGTATATTACGGTTAATCAGATATGCTAGAGAATTACTATGTATAGTTTACAAGGATTATCAACATTCAAAGAATTGGAAAGTTATTTCTTTTAACCTGAAGCCATGTTGAATCAACTATAAACTTTCTCTTTTACTTACTCAGAATGCATGCCAGGATTTTAGTGTCATTACCGTAGATATGATCCTGCTATGGTTTTTGTAGAGGGGCTAATTCATACAGCTTTATAGATGATGAATACTAAGTATCACTAAAAATTAACTGTGACTAGACAAATGCTTCCACCTGAATCTGGACAATACTAATAATACATGCTCCAAAAAGGGAGAAATATTCTTTTGCCTTCTCCAAATCACTCAAAGAAACTAGAGATTACTGGTTAAAGTTGCTCTACCTGTTAGGGGTCCTGGGTGGCTATTAGTAAAAATGTATTCAGTTTTCATATGAAAAAAGGCAATGATTTAATAAATCAAAGAAAAGGGATGCTAAAAATAGAGATGAGGGTTTTTACTTGTTTTTTTTGCCCCTTGTTTCCACCTGTGCCGCATTTTGAGACCATGTTACTCACAGTAAATTCCCACATGTAACAAATCTACCTGCATGGAATCAGAAAAGTTATTTTTGCTTTACCTGCTAAACCACCTTTGCTTCTGAAAGAAAGCCACGGATTCAATATCTGGTATATTATAGCCTCAGACTTTACAGACTAGTATAGTGTACATCTCCTTATTTTTTAAATATCAAGGCAATTTAAAAAAATATTTATTTGTTGTGCATATCAAAACACTGCCACTTGATGAAGGAATCCTCTTGTTTCCACTGCCCATAATATATCACGAAAGACTTGCTATCTGTTTCCATATGCATCTTATAATGTACAATGCTACATTTAAAGCACTTAATCTTTCATGAAATACATGATTTTATCCTATAACTTCTGTTAGGTTTGATTCTTTAATTCACATTATTTTCTAATCACCAAATTGAATGTTATGGCATAAGTAAATAAGTTATTTAGGATATGTTTCACTTATATTTCTATACTTAAAAGAAAACATATTCATTTAGGTTATAAGCCAAAAAGGTAAAAGATTTGATCAACTTTATTGAATATTAACTTAAAAAAAAGAACAACCACCTACTTGTGTTTTGTTTTTAAATACTGCTTCCAAATCATAGGGTGACCAATTATAACGGTTCTCTTAGTTTAGCATAGTGGGAACAAGAGAGAGGAAATGGAACAGAAACCTAGATCTTTTACCAGCTCCAGTGGTAAAGTGTAGCAAAATGTAGTCACTATTAGAACCTAAAGTTATTCGAAGGAGAGGTCCTACTTGACATGTAAGTCCTTTATTTCTACTCCTCACCCCCAAAATAAGACCCAGTTTGTGTGTGTGTGTGTGTGTGTTTGTGTGTGTGTGTGTGCGTGTGCGTGTGTGTCTGTGTGAGAGAGGGAGAGAGAAGATAAACATGATTCACGTTACTGTGCTAACCATCTCCTCTGGGTGCAATATTTTTTTCACTAAGGAATCTCCTTGCTTAGTGTGTATGGTGACAGACATGATACTTTAGACCTGGTTGTCAGAATACTCATCTTGGGAGAAAGGCGCCACATGGAGAAAAACATTTTATATCTTTCATTAAATATATAAATTCCACCTAAAAGAAAATGAGGAGGCATGCTTTCCTTGTGATGCTAACAACTATAACTTTATCCCTCTAAAAGTGTTAGCAATATTATGGTAAATTACCCAATATTCTGTCAGAAAAACTGAAACAATGTTGAACAATTACAGTGTTGGGTTCCATTTCAGTGGTTCCTTTTGAGAACTAAGGCAAATTAGCTCAAGAATCACTATTTCTACACTCTCCTTCTTTTGGCTTTAAGTGGCTTTTGAAGGGAGCATCCCCAGATGAGAAACTTCTAACACTCCTGCAGAGATGACCTGCTTGAAGAACTGGCTGCCTGATTAACTATTAACTGCTCTCAATAGGATTAGATAATTAAGGACATTGATGACCATTAATTAGGAGGAGGGCACATTAATTTGTCACTGGATAGGGCCCTTACAATGATTTATAGGTTAGTGCCACTTGCAAATGGGAAGGGAAAGAGAAAAAGAGAGAGCACCATTAAGTTACCTTATCAAGTGGCCAGCTAAAGAGGGCAGAGGGTCAAAAAAGGGCCAGAGTGGTCACTTAAGGGTGAAGTCCCAAACACCAAAGCAGTGCCAAGCCACATTGACCATCATTTGACGATGAAGTTAAAAATATGCTAATTTATTGGTGGCAATTCTCTCTTTTTATGGTTTGAAGCAGTTAAGACAAGTGGCCTGCTTAAGAGCTTTTCATTTGAAAAGAGATTAAACAAAATGGTTTGTCAAGGCTGCTTGGCTGTTTTATGTCTTTGTTAAAAAAAATTGCACCAGTGACTATACTGATAACTATCACATCACCCAGAAGCCATCTCTCTCTCTCTTCTGAGCATTTATTTCATTAATAAATACACCAACTTTAATTGCTTAATAGTGCTATGTTCATTTGCTCTTTAGCAAGATTAAGCTGAAATAAATCTTTTGCACTACTACTTTCTGTCACTATTGCTGGCATAAAGGGTCACAAAAAAAGTTTAAGTTTCTGTAGAAAATTTACTTAAAGACGCTGGTGTAAATTATACTTTTGTTTTATTCAGCACGGAAAGAGGAAAGGTGATTTCACTAATAGTAAAGAAAACTGCTTTTAGAATGTAGATAAGGATCTTCTTTTCTTAGCCATACACAATTGTGGGTAGCATTCACACTCCACACACAAATAAGCACAGCTCATTAACATTTAATTAAACACTTTTGAAAGTCTTGGAAATATGCACGTCATACTTCTCATGTAAGTTTGGACCTTACTTTTAACAGACATTTAAAACAAAATCATTTTTGCTATACTCTAATGATATACCATTAAAATAAAAGACAAAAAAGGATAGTCTAAAAAAATTGTTCTGTTACATCAAAAGAACTTAAAAATATTTAGCATGAAATATCTCCTATGAATTTCATCAAAGTAAAAGAAAAAGAGATATTATTTACCTCAAGACTGTGACTCAAACATAAAAATTCTCTCTTACCTCAATGGTGAATAGCTTCCTTTTTAATTTAAAAGCTAAGTCTTTGACATCTGATACATCATAAATCAAGTTATTAAGCTGAGGAATCTGCCGTATATGAATCAAACCTTGTGAAAAGAAAATTAAAAAAATTAAAAAACGCTGTCATTGGATGCATAAATTAAAGAGTCTTACAGCAGAATTCTGTAAATTTACACACAAGCATCCTCCCCCTTTTAAAACTGGAGCTTACTACCAGGAGCAATGAAGCAAATGGTGTGATTATACTCAAGTAATCAAGCAGAATAAGATAAACAGAAATCCTTGTGCGAGGAAAACTAATTGCACTTTGGTACAGAAGTACAGATGTAAAGAAGGATCTTAATACTTGTCAAAACTACAGCCGGTTTGTGTGTGATTTTCTCTTGTATTTACAGTAAGCAAATATGGCTATCACCTTGCATGCTGCCCACGGCACCACTGAGTGATCTTTATTTTATTAAATGCACCAGTAAGCAGCCAGCAAAACAAGGCTTATGGGTTACTGATAACCAGTGAAGCACTAATGAAAAGTATTTCATTTTATACCTTATTAATGACTTGAACAAACCACTGAAGAAAACTACATTTCAGAGCACACTCTAGGATCAAACATTAACCCCCATGCCATCCCAAGACACTCATTTCTGTGGCATGTTAGACCTTTATGTAGCTGTTATAAGCTTTGTAACAGTGCTAGGTAAACCGTGAGCTTTGGCCTCTTGTCAATAGAAACACTTGCTAATTTTTTCTGACAAGGGCACTGGATGGCTTTTGTGCAGCTTAATGCAGTTTCTGACTAAACTCGGGGTCATTTGCCACAGATGAAGACATGGAAGATTCTTCAGCGCGTCTCTCTGCCTGACTCAGCCCATATTTAAAAATTACCATCCCAAAGACACTGATCCCTCAACATGGAGGAATAAGGGAAATCCAGATTCGAACAAATTAGATAAATCTTATTTACATAATTGCTTCTCTAGTATATAGTTTTGTGCGTGTGTGTATTTGGATGCTTAGTAATGTATTACTGTTAGCTTAAAAGGGTCAACCTCCAAGTGCTTAACTTTAGAAATGGCCCCTTCAAAAATAATTCACTAAAATATCTGACTTAATTTTTTAAACTTAAGAAAATGCAAAAGGTGTTATTAAGAAGACAGCTTTTACATACAAATTAAAATTATCTCATACAGAGTTATTTAGTAAAATATATTAGAAATAATCACACCATACTTCCACTCGCACATTTCTCATTTTAACCTTGTAAGTGCTTGTTTAGCTAACTGTTAAATCAGGAGGCCTTACAGAGTGAATCAATCATTCATCAGGTCCTTCTTATTAACAGAAACTTTACTTATCATCAGAATCATCCATTAATCTGTGGCAAACAAAACTGATCAATCCAGAGATTTCAGCACAAAAAAATCATAGCTTTTCAACCCTTGAAATGTTTCAATCAAAATAATTTTTAAAATATAGAATATGATTTTACTAAATTTATAAACTCACAGTACTTACAAATGATACTCAGATATAACTTATAAAGATAATGTTTAACTTCAGTTGTTTTAACATAAAATGTAAATAATAAATTAAAGAAATAGTTTATCCAGTTATAAGATACATAAATCCTGGAGATGTAATGTGTAGCATGGTGACTACGGTTGACAATACTGTATTGTATATTTGAAAGTTACTAAGACAGTAAATCTTAAAAGTTCTCACCAACAGAAAAAAAAAAAGTGTAACTATGTGTGGTAATGGATGTTAACTAAAATTATTGTGGTAATAATTTCTCAATATATACCTATATCAAATCATTGTTGTAGACCTAAAACTAATACAATATTATATGTCTCAATATATACCTATATCAAATCATTATGTTGTAGACCTAAAACTAATGCAATATTATATATAGTTTAATACAAATTTTAGAAAAAGAAAAAAAAGGGAAATAGTTTAACCTTAACAGTTCTCTTCCTACCAAAGCAATAGTACTATATTAAATGAATTATATAGAGGGTTAATTTGGGCATATACCACATCCACACTTATGCAATGATCATGAGGCAAATTATTTTATGTAGTTTGTGTTCACAGTTTATATTTTCTAGCCTTTTAAAAAATACTCGATTGTTAGATCATGCTATTTTATTATTTTTTTAAAAGGTTTTATGCCAACTCTTTAAAGCCCTGGTGGTCATAAGTATCTTATAATCCTTTTGTTGGTAGCCTCTAGAAATTGCCACAGTCCTACAATCACAATCTTACACAATCTTGTAGCAGGCTTCAAATAAGCTATTCAGTCTTTAGACTAAGGTTTTCCATGGAAGTATAGTAGTTCCACAATAATAATTACAATAATTAGTATTCATTCAGAATAATAAATAGGTAAAAATTTAGTATTCACCATACTCTATATTCAGCTTAGATCTAAGATAAGCATAACTACTAAACTTACCCTATTGAGACAGTTCTATGTAGGAGCTTTTATTTTAAAAAATCCCCAAATTAACCAAATGACTAAAATACTATTAAAAGTCAAAAAATATAAGTAAGAAGCCTGATTACTTGACCTGTGTTTATACTAGGGTGGTAACATTTTAAAACTTGCTAATAACTCTAACAACAAAATGATCAAAGAAAAGTCCTAATATAATAAAAGATGTTTACTTTCTGAAAATGTGATTGACTAGGACTTTTTAACTGTAATACAGTATGAATTTTATTTATCATACAGCTAAGCTTTGTAAAGTATAAACCACTATACATAGCTGTTATTATTAGAATTTATATAATACTTATTTCTAACATGGTTAATAAGTAAGACTGATTTCACAGCAACTTTAGGGACAAAATGTACATCTGACTGAGCCATGCCTTAGTACCTGGGTTTGACACCTTTCAAATAGCTACCATGCTTCTTAGTCATAATGTAGTTTGGTGACAAGCTGCCATGAAAGATTGGCCAGGAAGGAAAAAAGTTTAACAGATATATTAAAAAATAAAATTCATGCTACATGACAGTAGATATTATGACTGGACAAGATTCTTCCAGGCAATTGGAACACACCCTTTTCATTATAAAGATGCTGCTTACCATGATAATCCTTATATAATGGGTTGGTTTCTTTCTCTGAACCAATAAATGATTCCAGACCAACTACTGTATCTGACAAGTTCGTAACACGAGCAATAATTGCTTTATTCTGTAAAACAAGGAAACAAAACACTCATGTTATATTTAAAATATACCATCTAGACAATGTCATTATGCCATCTCAATGACAAATTGTAGAGAAGACAGACTATCAACATGGAGAAGTAACTTAAAAGTTAAAGCTACCACAGGTGGAAAACTGGATGAAAAATATGGCCCATGTAGGTATGCTATTCTAATTTGAAGAGCTGAGGGGGCATACCTTAGTATTCATAGAAAAATAGTTTTTCTCTTGTCTTAAGGGGCAAGGCTACCTTTATTTTCATATACTATTATTTTTTCAAATTACTTTACCCAGTGCCCATTGGAAAATCTGATAAACATCAGAATTTAGAAGCAGTATATAGTACAGTATAATGTATAAGGGAAGATCCCACTAACATCTGTCAACTGGGACCACGTCCCAGCCTTATAATAGCTGAGGTCCTCTGTATCATATTAGAAACATGGAAGGGTCCAGCTAAGAGTCTGCAGCATGGCCAGCTCTGCAGTCTTCTATTCTCTCTTTCCAGATGCTGCTATTTGACTCTAATAATGATAAAGGCAAAGAAAAGATTGTAGATGACCAGCACTAGACTAGTAGCCTACCCTTTCCTTCCCAACACAACCAGACCTGAATCAAAAATACTGCTGAACAATACATTATAAAAGATGTCACATTTTAAATAGCAATAGTTCTAAAATACCCAGAATTTCATGGCTATAAAAAATATAATAATTAAAAATATAATCACAATAATCTGCAGGTTTTCTTGAATTATTTTATTTAATAAAGTTCAGTATTCCTTATAACTCCTGATAGGGCGATAGGTTTGAAAACTATTTTATAGGCTATAACACCTTAGAAAAATATTTGATCTGAAGATCAGGATAAGTTGAAAAGATTGTTGTTTATAAAATTTTATAATTTTGAAACTCCCATTTTATACACTGATATACCATTTTAAAACTAATCCTTAAAAAAAAGTATGGGAAATGTAAAACAGTCAAGACAATTTACAGTCTCATGCTATGTCCCCTGTTAAGAAAAGTCCAAATACAATCAAATATGTTCACTTTCTGAAAATGTGATTGACTATTGAGCTTACTGGTATTCCTCTGTTTAAGTTCTCTTATAAAGATCGCATAAGAATGAAAAATAAAAGAGGGTTGGTTAATGTTAACTGACTTGGTTTGAAATACACAGTAGCCTCTGTCACTAAACATTATGCTGAAGTGACTAGTTAACTCACATCTAGGGCAGTACTTTGCAACTCCTCTGTAAGTAGAAATGTGTGTTATGAAGAGAATATTACAGCCTTTGAAATAGTGCTCTTAAAAGGAAGCAGCAAAAGTAATTACCCTTTATTGTCTTTAATATTTTCAATCACGGGGGGGAGGTACCAAGAATAGAAAAACGAACATCATTTGGAAATGCCTATTTTTTCCAAGGCAATTTTTCATTCAATGGTGAGAAAATAATCCAGATTGATCCCTTACTTTCAGTTCTATGCCACAGGGGATGGTCTTACTCCAGGAATAACAGGGGTTTCAAAGGCCATAAACATGCTCCTCTCAATATTTCTTTAGCCAAAGACCATTATATCGAGCTCATCCAGGTTGGGTTTCAGCCAGTTATTCTTCACCCAAACAAAAATGTCTGCCAGACATTCCAACAGCTGGGAGACAGTTCACAATGAGTCAACTTGAAAATGATTCATTGTGCTGAGTACTGAACAATGTTGGGGTGGGGGGGGGGTATGGCTGAGTTGGCTGTAGAGGGTGAGAACAAGTGGGAGATGAAGAATAACCATGTGGTTCTCCCATTAAGAAGGATCTTAGATAACAACCAGCAGACTCTTATCATTTCATTTTTAGGATAAACTCAACTGGGAAGAGTACTCCTGCCATGGACCCTCAGATGAACAAGCACTTATAAAGGCTACTGACAATATTTCTTAATCAAAAAGGTCAGATTTCCTTTTATCTATAAATAGAAGACTGAGCCTTTGTATCTAAATATCTGAATCTAAAATTATAAAAGTCAATTTTTGTTACAACTCAAATATCAGGATTTCAGTGATATAAACTAGGGCTTATGAATGACAGAAATTGTAACATTTAAGTATGGAATTAGTCTTCCATTCTAGTAGTATATAAGCAAGGTCCTGTGTATTTAAATGGTCAACATGACATTTATTTCAAAGAAGGTTTCTTTCCTTAATTTAACCTTAAAATTGACTAATAAACCACTTAACATCCTGTAATATTTATCTACATTATAAGTCTTTTTAAGGTAATTTGCGGGAGATTAAAAATATCAATTATCCACCTTGCAGAGGAAAACTGATGAATTAATATAAAAGATACAGACAGCCTAGATTTTAAAATCTCAGAAACTCATACATATATTTCATTTGTCATATTGCTAAGCTCCATAGGTTTACATGTTATTAACTACAAACGAAATTCTATCTTAAAAGCTTCCATGAAGTATCAGAACAAGAATAAACTTTTAATCATTACCATAATATAAGTTACATTTAACGGTGAGCTTACTGCTTTCTGCACAGCAATTCTAGAAAACAGTTTATGTAATGTGGCAAACCAGATTAATTGTGAAAGTTGTATAGATATCTGAAAAATGTCTATAAAATAAAAAGCACAGGAAATTATATAAGAATAACATCTAAGTTTCTGAATGAGATGAATTTTATCCTAAACTCATTCAGTCTTCCAATTATTTGTAGGAGCATAAAAGATATTTGGGCATGTAAAGGTACTTACTTTTTTAAAAGTTCAAATAGTGTTACAGATTACTTCTTTACCTCCAAGATTCATAGGGAACGTGGTATATTGATGTAATCGTACCTTAAAACCACTCTTGTCAAAATGTCTTTCAAATCATAATATTAATACTAAATGGTCTTTTAGATAAAGGTAGGTAAATTTACTTAAAAGAATCTAAAGTTAACTGCTTTTAAAAATCCTTAAAAGCATAATAATCACAATTCACTTTAGGAATAATGCACTATGGACAATAAATTGTCTTATTATAACCTGCAATGTTCAGAAAGCTTTAGCATAATGATTTTAGCAGAGGCCTGGAAACTGGAACTTCTATATTCTCATCTTAAGACAGTCTAAGTGTTTTTATGTTATTAGCCAAGATGCGAAACCTCTTTAGTCTACAGTATATGTATGTAGTTGGAAATGGAGAAGTAAAGGTATTTGTGCATCTATTACTTAGACATAAATTTTGAATAATTTTTGTGTTAAATTTGAAGTTGTTGCAATATAGTTGCCAATAAGGAATATTTGAGTAAGGACATTCAGGATTCACCAGTATGAGTAAATTAATGGTTACACCACATGCATGGCATAATGACATCACCCAAATATATACAATGATGCTGCCACTCTTCCTTCCTGCCCATCTGGATGTGAAAATCTAGGATGACTCAAAAATCTTTCTTATACTAGGCAAATCGCCCTTCAGTCCTGGGTGAAAGTTGTCAGCTCTGGATGGTAGCCAAGACATGACTAGGAGGGAAGCCAGGAGAGAGCCAGGGTCCAGGAGTTTTAAGAGTTTGCTGGCAATCCCAAATAGCATTGTATTAAGTTACATAAAAGGTTCTTAAAACTTTCTGTTGTGGTGTAATTTCTTAATTAATTACTTAAATTTAAATTATGTCAAATGATGTTGCAAATAAAAAAGGCAAATCGGAATGTCCAGTTGACTACCTTCTTACTCCAATTTTAATTTCACAAAAAACTTCACAGAGTTTTTGTTTTGATTGTTCCTTGTTTGGTTTCATAGAATGTTTCATATTTACTTCTACAGAATGGTAACCTCTTTTTATTAGGATATGCCAAATCCATTAAATAGATTTTAAATACAGGAAGGTTAATTTAATGCTATTTTCCAATTCAAAGCTCATAAAGCCAAAATTAAGAACTTTGTTAAGAGATAAAAATTCAACTACTGCCACAGGAAGCTCCCTTTGTTTTCTAATGAAAATAGTTGAGATACCTATTTAGAGTAACCAAGTAACAATGAGAATATATCAAAAAACTCTGAATATTTCCTTACTTACTTGGACTTAATTATCTCAACAATATAAACGATATAGTTTGTACCAATACAATATATACTTCCAGGAAAGATTTTAACAAGATAATTAAAAAGTAATTAACCAATCACTTAACTATCAACAAGCTTGAAAGGAATAAATCAACTGACATAAAGCATTTGTGAAACGCCTCAAATTAGAATAAGTTCTTGGGTTACTCAATAAGAAAGACAGCAAACACACAATATGAAGGGTAGAGCTCCATCTGAGTATGGCACGCACATCAGATTTGGGACTACAATAGCACAAAAGCACTATCAAGTTAATATTGAAAAGTTAAAGAAATATTTAAATTACTTTATGTTTGACCCTACTATGTGAAACGATGTGTGTGTCTATGGTGGGGAGGGAATCACCACAAGAAAAGCAAGTATTCTACTTAACAGCTCAAGTTATAATAACATTTTTTGAAAAATGATATTAGAAACACAAACATACCACAACTCATGACATTTTTTTTTGTCGTGTAATAAAAAAAACAAACTTGAATGAAGGGATAAATCTAGGGATATTTAATGAGGTATTTGTTTTTCCATGCTTATTAAGTTCTCCATTCAATTGAAATCAAGACTATGAAATAATAAAATTAGGGCTTCCCTGGTAGCGCAGTGGTTGGGAGTCCGCCTGCTGATGAGGGGGACACGGGTTCGTGCCCCGGTCCGGGAAGATCCCACATGCTGCGGAGTGGCTAGGCCCGTGAGCCATGGCCGTTGAGCCTGCGTGTCCGGAGACTGTGCTCCGCAATGGGAGAGGCCACAGCAGTGAGAGGCCCACATACCGCAAAAAAACCCCAAAAAACTGTTATACAGTTTGTAACTTTTTACATGCCTTCCCTCACCTTCCCAGAGTTGTCACGTACTTCTGTGGATTAGTCTCT